TGGGCTGATTAAATCCCTCCAGGAGGGAGAGCTCTGGGAACGGCCTCAGCTCCATCCAGAGAAAGGCTGGCACCCCATGCCAAAGGCAYTGCCAGACAGATTTGTTCCTTCTGGAAGGCTCTGAAGGGCACTTTACCTTCCAGAAGGGAGCAACTCTCAGGGAAGGACAAAGTTTCTCCAYGCTAACTAACCCACATCAATATTTWAAATTTCCAATTAGACATTCATAAAATCTAAAACCTTGCACAAGGGATTTTGTTCAGCACCCAAGCGAGTCGGGGGGTTGGAGAAGGAGGAAAAAGGATGAGAAGGAGAGAAGGAGGGGGTTCTGGTGGGTTGGAGAAGGAGGAAAAAGGATGAGAAGGAGAGAAGGAGGGGGTTCTGGTGGGTTGGAGAAGGACAAGAAAGGATGGAAAGAGAGAAGGAGGAGAAAGGATGGAAAGGAGAGAAGGAGGGGGTTCTGGTGGGTTGGAGAAGGAGGAGAAAGGATGGAAAGGAGAGAAGGAGGGGGTTCTGATGGGTTGGAGAAGGAGGAGAAAGGATGGAAAGCAGAGAGGGAGGGGGCCCTGGTGGGTTGGAGAAGGAGGAGAAAGGATGGGAAGGAGAGAAGGAGGGGGCCCTGGTGGGTTGGAGAAGGAGAAAGGATGGGAAGCAGACAGGGATGGGGCCCTGGTGGGTTGGAGAAAGAGAAAGGATGGGAAGCAGACAGGGAAGGGGCTCTGGTGGGTTGGAGAAGGAGGAGAAAGGATGGGAAGGAGAGAAGGAGGGGGTTCTGGTGGGTTGGAGAACGATGGGAAGCAAAGAGGGAGGGGGCTCTGGTGGGTTGGAGAAGGAGAAAGGATGGAAAGGAGAGGAGGGGCGCTGGTGGGTTGGAGAAGGAGGAGAAAAGATGGGAAGCAGAAAGGGAAGGGGCTCTGGTGAGTTGGAAAAGGAGGAGAAAGGATGGAAAGGAGAGAGGGAGGGGGTTCTGGTGGGTTGGAGAAGGACAAAGGATGGGAAGCAGAGAGGGAAGGGGCTCTGGTGGGTTGGAGAAGGAGGAGAAAGGATGGGAAGCAGAGAGGGAAGGGGCTCTGGTGGGTTGGAGAAGGA